GGGAGTTGCCTCCTTCCTTGCTCTGGCCGGGTGGGTGGCTTGCCAGGTGACTGAGGCCTGGGGTAGCACATCCCCTCCTGCCTGTCCCCCAGCCTATGAGAAAGAGCCACTCAAGGGCAGAGGCAGTTCCCTGCAGAGGGGTGCTCTGGCCATGGGGCCCTGGTTGCTAGTCCATGGACCTGAGTGCATCGCCCAGTCACCGTCCCCCCATTCCATACTTCGGCGTCCTCATCTAGAAGCAAACAAGAAGTGCAGCAAACAGCATGGCTTGTCCTCACGGTCACGGACCCAGTGGTGGGAGGGGGGAGACCCTCATCTGTCCCTGGAGCTGCTGTTACCATTACCCAAGGGGCCTGCACACAACGTGGAAGCTTCAGGACAGCAGTGCTTCCAAGGGTAGCCCACCCGGAGCCCCTGTCCTGGAGGCTACAAGGCTCCATCAGCTGGGACTCCTTGTTTGGAAGGTGACTTGTGGCACCCACAGCTGTGATTCTGGCTCCAGCTGTGCCCCTGATCACTGCAGGGCCTTGGGCAAGTGGCAGTGGTGGGCAGGAGAGGTGCTGGGTTCTCCCAGACGCCAGAGCAGCAAGGGGCTCAGCAGCCTGAGGGTTCGGACGGGTCTGGGTGCAGGAAGCCAACAGGGCCCACCAGGCTGGGCCTTTCAGTGCTGGGAGGAGATGGGGAGTGGTGGAGGGAGGCAGCCAGATAAGCCAACAGGTGCTGTGACAGAGCGCGCAGGGGCAGAGGCCCCCGAGGAGTGAGATGAGAAAAACCCACAGCCTCCAGGAGCCCCTCTCCACTCCTGCAGACATCTGAGCCAGGGCAAGCACTCGCCACAAGCCCCTGCCTGGGCCTGGCCATGGCTGCCTGTCTCATGTCTTATCTTGTTACCTGTGATGAGACACCCTGACTGAAGAATCATGTTCCTGGCAGGGGAGCGAGGTGAGGGATGCTGAAATGTGGCCAGAAAGGCAGGTGGGCCTTCCTCCTGAGCCAGGCAGGGCAAAGCGGGGGAGGGGGGATCTGCAGTAGGAGAGCTAGGTAGACTGCGCACACCCTTGGCACCCCCAATCTCCCCAGACGCATCATTTCACCCTTGGTGGTTCCCCTCTCTCCTGGTTCCCTTAGCCCTGGACGTCCCTGGGTCACGCGGGAAAGTCACCTGCTGTCCTCTCTCCAGCTCTCCCCCTGCACGGGGTCTGGACAGAGGCTCCTTGTCTCCCCTCACTTCCCTTCCCCTGTCCAGCCCAGGGGTGTGGGTAGCTGGTTCTCCTGCTAAAAGGATTATATCATCTGTAATGTATATCCAGACACACATGCACTGCTGCTTGGGAGGACTAGACAAGGAGACGGAGCCTATGCAGCTGGCCAGAGGGGGATTGTATTGAACCTGAACCTGAGCCCTCCCTGAATGGGGGTGTTAATGGCTCACCAGGTCCCGGCCCCCAGAAATCAATCGTTGCACAGGCTGACGCTCTACGTTCTGCCCCCCTCCCTTCCCTCTCACCTACCTCCTGTCCCTCCCTGATACTCACACCCCTGGGCACTCAGCTGCCCGATTGACCTGCCTTTGACCTCGTCTGCAAGTGAGATTTCAGAGCCATTTTGTTTCAAATGTCTGGGCGTGGCTTCTTTGGGAGCTACTTCGGACGGGTAGGGTGCTTCTGAAGGCATGGTAACTGGTAGCGGGATACATCTAGAAGATGCTGGCTGAAGTGCTTCAGATCTGGGAGGGGTGCAGAGGGAGGAGTCGGAGGGTTGGTGCGGGGCGGGGGGATTGCCATGTGAGCAGATGGCTTCAGCTGCAGAAGCCATCTCTGTAGGACTCAATGGTTACCCAGAAATGAAGTCTTGGATGTGTGTGCACCCTGGCTCTGGGGCCTGCAGATGTGATCCGGGTTCCATGCAGGGACACAGGCAGGGAGGACCCAGCATTCAGAGGCAGCAGCAGCAGGCGCTGAGGTATGCTGAGACAAGCCAACAGCAAGGCAGCCTGGGGACCCTGGGCAGGGCCCTGCGGAGGGCGCTAAGCTTATGGCAGGAACATGCCTGCCCCTGTGCCAGGTGTGAGGCTTTGACGGCCATCACCTTTCCCACGGTCTCTTCCAAAACCTCATTTGCCTGGAGAGTGGCCCGCAATCGGGCCCTGAACAAACTGCCCCTTAACAGATACGGATGCCTTCAGCCAAAGCCCTCCATGTCAGAGGGTGTCAGTCGGACCGGTCGCCGGAGGCACTGCCAGGCTAAAGCAAAGCACACCTACCCCAAGCAAAGCACAGCTCCCTGGCCCCTCCACCTTGCCCGGGGCTGGTGGTTCCTGTGGCTGCTTTCAAGATCTCTGGGGAGCACCTTTGGGATTTGGGAGGGTGTGGGGTCTGACAGGAAACAAGATGGCCACTTCCCAGTGGCCATCCCCAAGGAAGGGACAGGAAGGACGGCAGTGGCCTTGGGGTTCCGGGTGGAATGGAGGGTGAGGGCTGGGGCGGCCCCATCACCTCACCCTGAGACTCCTGTCAGCAGCAGATGGACCCAGCTGCTTCGGAGTCAGAGGCCCAGCTGTGCCCTCGGTACTGCGAAGCAAACTTGCACTCACTGAAGTCCCCCTTAGGAGTTTTCTGCATTTTCTTCCCCAGCCCTGGGCATGAGGAGGGAACCACTATTTCCTGAGACCGAGCAGGCCTGTGCCTTGAGAGCTCCCCGGGCATCTCCGGGCAGGCCTGGCCTTTGCATGCTCCTCTTCCGGCAATGGTTGGGTCTCGTTGCCTGGAGAGCAGAGACACCAGGAAGGCTAGAGTGGGAGCTGTGCAGGGGTGAGGGTGGCATTCTTTAATCCAAATGTTTCTTCCCCAGCCTCTCAGCCCTGAGTCACTAAAGCACGGGATGGTGGCGGAGGGGGGGATGTTAACCAACCTTGCTAGAAACTCCTCTGAGTCAGCTCACCCACCAAGACTTTGCTGGTGGTCAGCTGGGCACCCAGGCCATGGGCAAAGCTGTCGTCCATCCTCCCCAAACAGGAGGCGCCCTCGGTGGAGGGGGAGTGTGAAAGCCAGCCCCCTGTTTTTAGAGCACAGCTTCTACGGTATATTGATTTATTAGGAAAGGTTCCGTAACTTCAGCACATCTAGCAGTACTGGAACCAGTGGCAGCTGCATGTGCTTGCCTGTGTGGCGTGGCTAGGGTAGGTGCAAGCTCAAGTCCAAGGCTGTAGGGGAGAGCCCCAGTGCAGTCCCACGAGGCCCAGCGTTCAGAGCAGGGAGAGGGTTGCAGGGCCAGAGGCCTCCTCCCAGGAGGGACTGTGCTGCTGCCAAGGCTGAAAAGGTGCAGAGGAGCAGTCGGGGCCCAGAGCAGGGTGGGCAGGCCTGGCTGGCCACAGCAGGACCCTCCCAGCTCCGGTGCCATGGCTTGAAACTGCAGCACAGCTAGGAGGGCCCTTGAAGATCATATGGTCCCACCTCTCTCCCCAAACCTACAGACCAGGAAATGGAGACCCAGATGGGACAAGGACCTGGGCTCCAGAGGCAAAGCCCTATACCCTCGTCTCTTCCAGGGGTAATGACTCAGGGGAATTCAGCGCTGCCGCAGACACAGCCAAGCGGCCAGCGGAGCTGCTGGCATCCCAGCCCTGCCTGGCAGCACCTTATCCTGTGCTCCCTGGGCGGAGTAGACGGCCCTTGATGCTCACAGCCTCCTGCCGGGTCTCAGGCAATCCCCCACTGAAGGCACCAGGCCAGGCTGGCCTGGAAGCCCCAGGAAGGCCAGGTGCACATCCCGGCGGGCTGCCCTTTGCCTCCCCTCCCCACGCAACCTTCCGCACTCACACTTGCTCAGGCTCTAGGCTTCTGAACTCAGCCAGACCAAGTCACATCCTACTCTGCCACTACACTATTGTGCCACCACCAGGGAGCCACGGCCTCAGTTTCCCTGGCTGTAGCATGGGGACAAACTCCTCAGACTTCCAGAACTGCTGTAAGGATAAAATGAGGTCCTCGATGGCAATGCGTGTGACCTTTGGTACAGAGGAGAAAGCTAACGGGACCAAGTGACAACAGCCTCTCCCTACTCACTCCCAGCCCCTCCCCCACCCAAACGTCCTGGCTCCACCTCTTCCAGGCACTGAGGCTCAAATGCTATTACTATTAGCCAGAATCTGACACATGAGAATGAGAGGGGACACTGCAGGGGGACCTGGGGTGGGGGGTGGAATTGGCAGCGCTGTCAGCCGGACTTTATACCCTCTCCACTGTGGGAGCAGGAGGTGGCTCTGGGGGACCAAGCTGTGCCCGGTCCTCAATGGGCCCCTTCGCTGGGGTGCCAGTGCAGATTCTGCGCTGTAACTGTCCCCCTAGCCCAGGCCCAGCTTAGTTCAGGGCCCCCAACCCCACTCCCGCGCCCCAAGCTCGGGAGCCCCCACTCAGTAGCGCCACTGGGGACCGGGGAGCGCAGGGCGCGTCGGACAGGGCTGGCCTAGAGGGCAGTGGCTTGCAGGTGGGAGGAAGGCGGGCGGGGGCGTGGGAGGTGGAGGGAGACGCCGGGCAGGCTGCGGCCCCTCCCCGCTCCCTCCCTGCGCGCCGCCAGCTACAGTGCCCCTCCTGGGCAGGGGGCGGAGAAGACGGCGACGGGAGGGGAGGAGGCGGCGGCAGAGGCGGAGGAGGCAGCGGCGGCGGAGGCGGGATTTGGAGTTTCCCTCCGCAGCGGCGGCGGCTGCCCCTCCGCTCCAGGCGAGGCCGCCACCCGGGGTTCCGGTGGCGTTAGGCGGCAGCAGTGGCGCTTCCCGCCGCCCGAGCTTCGGAAACTTCCCGGCCGCGACGCAGGGAACCGGCGCGGAGAACCGAGCAGAGCGGAGGTGAGTGAAGCACGCGGCGCCCAGGGGACCCCCACCCCACCCCCACCCCACCCGGCCTGGCTGCCCCCGCCCCGACGTGCACTGCTCCGTCCTGCAGCCCCAAAGTCCTGAAAACGCACACCCCACGAAGCCGGCGCACGCGCCCCCACGAGACCCATTCGGTGCTGCCGCCGCACACCCCCGCACCCCGCCCGTGCACCTCCCGTGTCCCCTGTCACTTACACCGGCTGCACACTCGCGCGCATACAAACCTCGCACCACAGACCCGGGTTCCGGTAGTGCACACACTAGCAGCCCCTGCCCCACCACTCACCACTGTCCCCAACTCATGCCAACCCACCGAGACCCTGCCACGCCCCAGTACACACCCAGGCGCACACGCACGCTTCCAACACATCTCTGCGATACCTGCAGTAACACAGCTCCCCCTACCATGCCCCCACCACCTCGAACTGCCCATCTGCCCATTACAGACACCCCACCCACGTTCCCAGCCCACAGACACTGCAGTCCACCCACCCCGGAGCAAGGTCCCATCAGAAACCCACATCCCAGCGGCTGACACTCCCCACGTCCCAAGCACACACCTCCAGCATCTCCAACGCGCACTCTCATCCACCCCAGCAAGCGCGCACACCTGCTGGATTCACGCTCTCCAGCACCCTGCCCCGCCCCCATCACAAATAGCCTTCGACACCCCCCAGCACATCTCTGAGTCCCTCCCTTCCTCCCCCCCCAACACCTGGCACGCGGGCTCTAGAGGCTGCAGCATTTGGTGGCATCCCTGCCAGGCACCTCTGGCTCTCCTTCGGCAGCGGCTCAGCAGCCTTGGGCCCCCCAGGTGCCTCCCTAAACAGACCTTGAGACTCCCCAGCGACTGGTTTGGCCTCTTCCCTAAGAGATAAAGAAGGCACTTTGGGGTCCAAGGTAGGGTACTTAGATGTGGAAGCAAGGGGCCCCGGGAAGGGGCGGGGAGGAGGCGGAGAGAGCCCGGCGCTGAAATGGAGGCGGCCCAGGTGGGACCAAAAGGACGCCAGCTGCCCGGCAAGCACGTAGTAGGTGGGTTCCATGGGGGCTGGCGTCCGCGCGCGCTGTCTGGGTGCCTGCCTGCGTGTGTGTTACGGGGAGGGCTGTGTGTGCACGTGTGCTTGTGCGTGTCGGAGTGGGGGAGGAGTGCGTGATCGGCAGAAGGAAAAGCAGGAGCAGCTCCCTCAGGCAACAATTGGTTTCATTCATTCATGCCTTCTTTGTTAACGAGCATTTCTTCCGCGAGCGCCGGGCGCGTGCCAGGCCCTGCACTGGGGGCTGGGGCCAGCTTGGGGCCGGGCACACACCCGTTCCTGCCTTGGAGGAACTCCCAGTCCCGCGAGGAGACCGACCAGGAAAAGCAGAAAGCCATCCCCAGCAGAAAGTGGATTTGATGGAAAAGACACTGGATTTGGCAGGCACGCTGTCGCTGGGACTTGTGCTCTTGGCCATGTGACCCGGCCGCGACAGCCGAAATCCTGTCACTCGGCCCGGCGGGAACGATGCATTTCGTGGGGGAAGGCGGCGCGGCGGCGCTCTCGGGAGGCTCCCGGGACCAGAGGGCGCACGCGGCGCGCGCGAGGCCTGCAGGCGGCGGCGTCCCCTCGGCCTCCAGGGGGCGCTGGCCCGGCCCGGCGGAGGCCCAGGGCGCCCGGCGGGGGCGGGGGCGGCAGGCGCAGCGCCCACCCTGCGGCTAGCAGCGAGCGCGCGGCCTGGCTCCGCCCGCGGGAGGGGGCCAGGCGAGGCCTGGGCGCGCGGCGGGGCCTCCCCTAGCACAGCGCACCCGCGAGCGGCTGTGGGCGGGTCGGCGCCCAGAGCCGGCGCTGCAGGGGGCCTGAGTCGGGGCGGCCCGGCTAGGGTCGCCGGTGAGAGGGGCGTTAGGGGGTTGGCTGCGCTCAGCCCTGCAGTGCGGAGGTGGCAACAGGTTCCCATTTGTCCTGTTGCTGGCGCTGAGGGCGCTGTGGGCCCCAAGCACTGAGCTCTGACTTTGGAAACTGAGCCCCTCGTGGCCTCCTCCCAAATGCTTTCTCCCGGTGGGAGGGCTTGCCAGCAGGGCTCCGCAGTTGAGTGCAGGGGAGTCCCTCGCCAGGCGTCAGGAGACGTGGACCCTTGGATCCTAGGCTTCCCCTTCCTTCACCATTGCGGAGGTTGCCTCTCCCCGTCCTCATCCCAGCCCAGCTCTCACCTCCAGGGATCCCTCTCCAGAGAGCGCGTCTGAGCACCTCAGGAGCTCCTTCTCCAGCCAAACTGAGTCCCCACTGCAGGGCAGGCGGGGGAAGTGGCTGTCCAGCTCCCTGCTGGTCACAGCCCTGTGCCACCCCCACTATCCACAACCAGACTGGCACATGGCAGAACCTCCGTGGTGCCTTCAACCCCTGCCCACTCTTAGCTCCCACCCACAGCTGCAGTGGGCCTGGAGGCAGCCCCCAGGCTGGGTGCCGGTGTCCACCTCCGCCACTGTGGAGCTAGGCTGTGAGACAGGAGAAGGTAGAAGACAGAAGACAAAGTCCCTGCCCCAGGAACACACTGAGAAAGGGGGAAAGTGACCACACTAGGGAGCACAGAGGAGGGAGACTACTGGCTCTGAGTTGGGAAGGCTGCCTGGAGGAGAGGGCCTGAAGAATGAGCAGAATCTCAGAATCTGGGCAGAGGGCATAGGAGGGAGGCCTGGGCTGGGGCCCATGCCCACTGGGCAAGAGAAGGAAGGACACAGTCCAGTTGTCCAAGGCCCTTAGATGCAGGAATTAGGACTCATGTTAGAGACAGGGACATGGGGGTGTGGCCAGACAGCAGCCCAGTGCCAGGGTCCTGGGAGTCCCCAGTTAGCAGCCCACTGCCCGAAAGGGAGGAAGAGGGGCAAACTGGAAGCCCCTTAGAGGTGACCCACCTAGCTTTCCATCACCTGCCCTCTTACCTAACCATGACCTCAGACATTTTCTCCTCTAACTCCATGGCTCCTGAGAGGAGTCTTTGGACTCATAGTTTGCTTTGCATTTTCCACTCGTTAGAAAAATGTTTTGTGGTGCCCATCTTTCTGTGCATAACTTTGCTTTCTTTTACTTTAGTTCCTTAGATTCCCAAAAGTGGTCAGAGGGTTGGGATTCTTTCCTAGCTCTTGATATTGCCAGATTAATTTCCAAAAGGGCCGCACCAATATATAACCCTGCAACAGTTGAACAGCACGCTGATTTCGCAGCAATCTTGCCAGCACTGCATGTTCTCAAAAATGAGAACATTTCTAACGCGCTAGGTGGGAAGTGTTACCTCCTTGGTCGTTGTTACTTGTTTATTGGAGTTGCTTTCCTTCTACGCCTGAAGTTGAACCTTCCCCCAAATATTTGTTAGGCCACCACATTCCCTCCTTCCTGCAGTATGCAGTGTTTTCAGGTCCTTTGCCCATTTATCTACAGGGGTCTTAACCTTTTGGTTGGGTATGAGCTTTATCTTATCTATTGTACATTTTCCTTCAACACTGTTATTTGCTTTTGTTGGGCTTTAAGCAGAGAAGGGACTTTTAGCCAGATCAGCATTGTGGACACCTCCCCCTGACCCTGGTCTCCTGCCTCAGTGCTCACCACACCTGAGACCTTGTCCAGTGCTCTTGCTGCCTGTGGATCTGTCCCTCCTGTTGTGCCCATGGAGGAAAGGATGGAGGCCGTCAGCCTTGGTTGAGTGGATGGCATTCTGACATTGGGCAGGGCTGGGCAGGGCAGGGTGGAGGGCAGGTCGTTGCAGGCCCAGAGGCAGGGAGACTGTTGTGCAAGACATGACAGTGACCTGGCCTAAAGCTGATGAATTTGAGCCCTTGGCTAGGGCAGGGGACAGGAGAGAGAGGCATGGATGTGAGAGATATTTAGGTAGAAACTACTTCTCTCCACTTTGATCAGCCGAAGGGGGGTTAAGGGAAGGAGGCAGAGTGGGGAGACAGGGGTGACTCTTAGGATCAGTAATGTGATAAGACCAGAATGCCCCAGTTTAGGGCTGGGAACTCAGGGCTCCTGGGTGCTTTTGGCCTGTCCTGTGCGAGTGAAGCAGGCTGGGGTTGGGAGGTATTCAGGAGCTGCCTCTGCCTGCCTTGCCCTGCAGCAGAGCTCTGGGACAAAGCTGCACTAAGTTTCTGGTCCTGCTTCCTCCTCCCCTCCGTGATTTCGGTGGCATCCCATGTTTGCCCAAGCTGGTAGCTATGAGCCCATTACAGAGATGCGGCCACTGAGATCCAGGAAGGGGAGAAGATGGTCCAGTATCACCTAGTGAGTTGGGTTGGAGGCAGCTTCCGCGGCAGAGGGGCTGGGCTCTGGTCCCCACCCCTCCCCCTGCCTCCCGAGGCCAGGCTGGCGCCGGCCAGGGGAGCCGCAGCTGGTCCCCTGCTGGGCCCCTGACCTGCCCTTGGCCTCTGCCCCGACCCCGTCCCGCCTCGGTGGAAGCCCCAGCTCAGCCGACTCGCAGGTCCCACCCGACTGCTTCGGCTAGCACCCGTTGGCTCACCGGCCCCCCGGGCCCGCCCCCGGAGCCCCGCCCCGGCCCGCCCCTCGGAGTTGTAACTCCACGTCCGAAGGCAGTTTCCAAGGTGGAAGCTGGGTCCGGCTGCCAGGAAGCGGCCAGTGCGCGGGCTGCGCGGGGCTCGGCTTCCACGTGCAAGCCTGTACCGCCACCCCGCCTTCTCCTGGCGGCCAGGCCTGGGGACTCCCTGCCCCGAGACGGCGCCCCGCGTTCCGCAGTGGCAGTGACCGTGGCCAGAACGTCCACGCGCGGTCGTCCACCTCCGGATTTCGCTCCAGGTCTCTCTCCTTTTGTTCCCTCCTAGGGGTGGGGGAAGATGGGGGACCGGGGACCAGGTCACCTCTGAGAGGACTCGCTGAGGCCCAGCACCTCGGCGCCTCCTCTGTTCCCCTGTCCCACCTGGCCGTGGGGGAGATCTAGGCCTCGAACTGGCACCCCTCACACGCACACCCCCAGCCAGAGTCGGAAGCTCGAACTTGGGGAGCATTCGCGAGAAGGCCGAGAGAGGAGCAGAAAGGCGGTATGGAGGGAGGCGGCTGCGGCCTCAGGGATGAGCCTCGAAGGGGCAGTTAGTCGCTCAGCCCTCTTCTCGAGGACCCTTCCCCGGGCCAAGCTGCTGCCTGGGGGTTTTCTTGGGGCGCCTTGTTGGGAGTCCTCACGGTGGGGGACCCTGGGCTCCCGCCTTCAGGACGCAGGGCGAGCTTCAAGTCTCAGCCCCCTCGGCCCTCCGGGAGCTCACACTGCGCCTTCTCTCTCTCCGCAGCGACCGTGGCCCGGCGTGTAGGGAGCCGATCGCCCATGGAGGGTCTGGGCCGCTCGTGCCTGTGGCTGCGCCGGGAGCTGTCGCCCCCGCGACCGCGGCTCCTGCTCCTGGACTGCCGTAGCCGCGAGCTGTACGAGTCGGCGCGCATCGGTGGGGCGCTGAGCGTGGCCCTGCCGGCGCTGCTGCTGCGCCGCCTGCGAAGGGGCAGCCTGTCGGTGCGCGCGCTCCTGCCCGGGCCGCCGCTGCAGCCGCCCCCACCTGCCCCGGTGCTCCTGTACGACCAGGGTGGGGGCCGGCGCCGGCGCGGGGAGGCAGAGGCCGAGGCCGAGGAGTGGGAGGCCGAGTCGGTGCTGGGCACCCTGCTGCAGAAGCTGCGAGAGGAAGGCTACCTGGCCTACTACCTTCAGGGTAGGTGCCGTGGGGCCCTCCTTCCAGGGCGTTTGGGATTCATTTGACCTTAGGCCAGTCCCACTTCTTTTTTTCCAAAGCGAGTTGAGGCCCCCCTCCTCTGATGACCTGCCAGGCTGCTTTGAGAGGAGGGAAGCCTGAGTGTGACCGTGGGCAAGTTCTTTACCCTTGGCAGCCCAGTCTCTGAGCCTGGAAAATGGGGAGAATTGGCCTGACCTGAGCTAGTTCTCAGGATGCTCAAGAGCGAAGTAGAAGGTGTGGGCTCCCCAGGGTCTCGGCAAGGGTATCGCCACCTCTCCCACCTGCTCAGCAAATGAGCAAGGGAGGCAGGGGTCAGACAGCATTGGTGCAATCACGGCTCACTGAAGCCTCCTGGGCTCAAGCGATCCTCCCACCTTAGCCTCCTGAACAGCATATAAAGTGTCAGGTTTCCAGCCAGGGGAAATAGTATGTCAATAGAGATGCTGGCTTCTTGAGACTTTAGAACCATTCTGGTGGAATGTCACATTCTCCCCCAAGTTCCCCACATCTTGGGGTCCCACTTCATCCCTGAGGGTCAGGATATGCCCAGGCAGAGAACTTCCTTTTCTTTAACTGATGGCCACAGTCCTCCCTAAGGCTGGCAGTATATCTCAGCTCTGTTGAGCCCTCACACCTGCCTCAGCTTGACCCTAGGGGTGTAAGATCCTCTCCGGTGGTTCAGCGTGAGCCCAGCTTCTTGCAGCCCCAGCAGCTGCAGTGGGCACTTGCTGTCCAGAGCAGTGGCCGAGAGTGCTGAGTGAGGGTGGCTAGGGCTCCACGTGGCACCAGGACACACCAAGCTGCTGGGTTTTGTGTTCCTTTTAGGAACATTTGCAAACCCTCCAAGTTGTCTAGGGTCAGCTCCCCAGCCCCAGACAGAGGTACTTGGCTGCCCAGGAGGCCAGGTCAGCAGGCCCCATGCCCTCTCCCCCACAGGTGGCTTCAGCAGATTCCAGGCCGAGTGCCCTCACCTGTGTGAGACCAGCCTTAGTGGCCGTGCCGGCTCCAGCATGGCCCCAGTGCCCAGTCCGGTGCCTGTAGTGGGGTTGGGCAGTCTGTGCCTGGGCTCCGACTGCTCTGATGCGGAATCCGAGGCTGACCGAGACTCCATGAGCTGTGGCCTGGATTCGGAGGGTGCCACACCCCCGCCAGTGGGGCTGCGGGCATCCTTCCCTGTCCAGATCCTGCCCAACCTCTATCTGGGCAGTGCCCGGGATTCCGCCAACTTGGAGAGCCTGGCCAAACTGGGCATCCGCTACATCCTCAATGTCACCCCCAACCTCCCAAACTTCTTCGAGAAGAATGGCGACTTTCACTACAAGCAGATCCCCATCTCCGACCACTGGAGCCAGAACCTGTCGCAGTTCTTCCCGGAGGCTATTGAGTTCATCGGTGAGTCCACCCCACCCGCCCTCCCCAAGACCTGCTCTGGCCTCCTCCTTGTGAGCACTCCTCCCAAGCCCAGCCTGCCAAAAGCCAGGGTGGCACTTCTAGGGGACAGGCAGAGCTGGGGCGGCCCCCAGAGGCCACCAGCAAAAACTCCAGGCCGTGGCCTTCTGGCTCAGGGGGCAGGGTGGGGTCTTCAAGGGCCCTTCGGAAGGCCTCGGCCTCACACACGCTTGCCCTCGGGGTCTCCCGGGCCCTGTCCTGCCCCATCTAGATGAGGCCTTGTCCCAGAACTGCGGGGTGCTCGTCCACTGCCTGGCGGGGGTCAGCCGTTCTGTCACCGTCACTGTGGCCTACCTCATGCAGAAGCTCCACCTCTCTCTCAACGATGCCTATGACCTGGTCAAGAGAAAGAAGTCTAACATCTCCCCCAACTTCAACTTCATGGGGCAGTTGCTGGACTTTGAGCGCAGCCTGCGGCTGGAGGAGCGCCGCTCACAGGAGCAGGGCAGTGGGGGGCAGGCATCCATGGCCTCTGACCCGCCCTCCTTCTTCACCACCCCCACCAGTGATGGCGCCTTCGAGCTGGCCCCCACCTAGGGCCCCGTGGCCGGCGGGCCGGCCCCTGCCCCACCCCCACCCACGGGTGTCCCTGCCCACTCGTGCGGCAAGGGAGGGGAGGGCAGGAGGGCTCGGCCTGAGCAGGGTGCTGGGGGGAGAGCGCAATACCTCACGCGGGCTGGCGTCCTAATCAACGTGCCTACGGCAGGGCTGCTCTGAGCCTGCCTCTTCTGCGACTGTTACTTCTTGCTTTGCGGGATGGGGGTGGGGGTCCCTCTCCAGGTGGTTGTCCAGGCCCCGGCCCCGGCCCTGGGTGCTCGGCCAGCTCGGCTGGGCCCTGCACCTCCCTGCGCTTCCTCCTTCAGGAAGGGTGTGTGCCACCTTGTTGCCACAGGGACTGGCTCCCAGTCCCTCCCCTGTCCCCAAATGGTTGCTTGGGGGAGAGGAGTTTGCCATCACTGGTGTTGTCACCTCCCTGTTTCTCCACCAAGGGCTTGGGCCTCTCGGGGCTGGGGCCTCCCAGGGAATGGGGACCCAGAGGTGCAGTGGCCGCCTACATCCATGGCCTAGGAGCAACTGGGCAGGTTCCCGGCCACACATCTGGTGGGCTTTTTTTTTTCCCTCTTCCCCCAGATGTCTTGACGGCATCACTGGGGCTCTTTGTGAGTGAGGGTGGTCAAACTGCTGCCGGAGGAGATGGGGTCTCAGAGCGAGAGCGGGGGAGGGGGAGGGGAAGAAGAAGGCCTCACTTTTGCTGCTGCGGGGCCCACACAGCCGCTGCTACTTTGGGGGCTGGGGAAGGGGCCAAGCTGCAGACACACACAGTCATTCATTTCTGTCCACACCCCTGTGGGTGGCGGGTGTGCGTGTGTGTGCGCGCGTGTCGGCACTCACACACACATGCTAACCCACTGATTCACCCAGCCCAGGGCTGGCAGTCTTTGCGGCATGGGGCCATCTTACTCTGGAGCCTGGAGAGGAGCTATGCTTGTTTTTGTAATCCATATCACAGTTGCTTTCTTTAATTATTCCTTCTGAATAAACAGTTTATTTAAGATACTGAGTAGAGAGGCAAGCTACCTCCTGAGCACCTTGGAGGGTTTGGGGGAAGGTGGGGAAGGAGGCCCTCTTGGTCTCTCTGGACTGCCCATGGTGGAAAGGGGGGTATGTCGGGCTGGCCAGGGACTCAGGCACCACCCCACTCCCCGCCCCATGTTATCATTTCCCATATTGTGCTTACACTGCCCGCTGGCCCAAGCTCTGAGTTGCACATTCATTCACCTCCATTTGAACCCCTAGTCTGTGCCACACACTGTCGGGGGACTGGGTTGCAGCAGTGAGCTCTGCCTGCTCAGAGCAGACTTCCTAGTGGGGGAAGAAATGATAAATGCAACAGTCACAGCACTGCAGTTATGCCATAGATGTCCACTGCCATGGACACAGCAGAAAAGCGAGGACCCAGCACTCACAAGTGATCCCTGAGACACCGGCCAAGTCAGCCCGGAGCCCTGTCTGGAGCCTCCTGAGGGCTGCCACGGCTGGGTGGCATCCTGAGAGTGACAGGGAGGGGTGTGGGCAGACTGGCACATGTGAGTGTTGTGGTTCTCTGGCTGTGGAATTTGGGCTGCAAAGCCCAGGCTGGGGACTAGAAGAACCCCATGGAGAACATGGAGACCAACAGGCTACCTAAAGGGACAGAGGTGAACTGCACCTCTCCTCATCTTGGGACACTGCCAATGCCTTCTCCACACCGTAGCTTCCGGGGTCTATAAAGCTGTGACTCTCCACCATGGAGATGTAGCAGAGGGAAAGGGCAGCTGGAGGGTGGCGGGGAGCAAGCGCAGCCCGAGAAAGCTGCGGAGACTTTGGGAACAATGTGGCCCAGAACCCACAAGATGTTGGGGGCAATCTAAAGGCATTTGTGTGAATGGCTGAGCTAGTAGGAAAGGAAGAGCAAGGTGATGAGGTGAGAAATGATGCGAATCCTCTGGGCCAGTGGAGTAAGCCACCCTGGGGCTAGCCCAGGAGCCAGGACCCTCCATGGGAACGCAACCCCACCAACAACTTGATTTCAGTCCACTGAAATCTATTTTGGATGGCTGATCTTCTGAAATGGAAGATATGAAATCTGTGTTACTGTAAGCCACCAACTCTGTGGTAATTTATTACAGCAGCCACAGAAAACTACTAGAACAGGTGACCTAGGAAGATACATCCCAAAGAAAGAAGAGGGTGTGTGCTGATCTTGACCTTGGATCTGGGGGGAAGTGGGATAAAAGGAAAATGTTCCCCCTCCCCTGAGAGCTTATAGCCACAAGCTGAACTGTTCTTTTAGAGTGGTCTCAGCATAGAGTAGTGAACACTCCAGAATCTCTCTCGGAGGCACTTAGAAACAGTGATTCAGCCAGGCACCGTGGCTCACACCCGTAATCCCAGTACTTTGGGAGGCCAAAGCAGGAGGATCACCTGAGGTCGGGAGTTCAATACCAGCCCGGCCAACGTGGGGAAACCCTGTCTCTACTGAAAATGCAAAAAAAAAAAAAAAAACACAAAACTGAGCTGGGCATGGTGGCACGTGCCTGTCCAAGCTACTTGGGAAGTTGAGGCACGAGAATCACTTGAACCCGGGAGGCGGAGGTTACAGTGAGCTGGGACTGCGCCACTGCACTCCAGCCTGGGTAACAGTGAGAGAATGATGAGAGAGTGAGAGTGAGGCCCTGTCTCAAAACAAAGAAACAAAACAAAACAAAAACAGTGAACTGGCTGCTGGAGAAGGCTCCTGGATTTGTCTCGAAGCTGTATTTGACTATCTTACATACAGTTTTACTTAGATTGTGACAGCCCAATAAAAAATAGCAGTTTAAAACATTAATAAAATACATTTTTAAAGTTTTTTATTTTAGAAACAAGGTCTCAATATAGAACTTAAATAGGCCAGGTGCAATGCCTCAGCCTCCCAAAGTGCTGAGATTACAGGCATGAGCCACCACACCTGGCCTATCTAAGTTTTAAATGAAATGGTTCAGAGGTCACATTGCTCCAGAGTGACCAGCAGAAGCAAGCACAAATCCTCTGTGGAGGGAGGGATGTCCTTTAAACACAGGCCTCAAAGCACTCCTATAGAAAATTCCAAAATACGTAATTGTTTTAAATCCTAAAATGTACAAGGAAATAAGCCACCATGAGTTATAGAAACATTTAACATGTGAATTCAAGTATCAGTCCTGCAAAGATAGCAGCTTTTGAAATTATATGACAAAGGCTATAAGTATAATTAATATGCTTAAAGAAATAAAAGGAAGTATTGAAACTGTAACAAAAAAGCAAGAGAATATAAAATGACTAGATACACTTGAAAGAAAACCAAAAAGAGCTCCTAGAAATGAAAAATATGACAATCGAAATTGGACATTTAAAGTTTAAACAGCATATTAAACATAGCTGAAGAAAGAAATAGTGAACTGGAAGATGGATTTAAGGAAATTACCCAGAATGCAGCACAGAGAGACAATAAGATAGACAGGTCACACATATATTTAGTTGGATTTCTAGAAGACAAAAAGGAGAATAGGGAATATAAAATATTTTAATAAACAATGCCTGAGAATTTTCCAAAACTGATGAAAGACACTGTGGAAGAGACTACTAAGTGTCCCCCAGTATCCATTCTCTGCTTCCCCTTTTTAGAAGTAAAATGTCCAAAGGTTAATAGTGTATATGGCTTCACAGCTAGAAACTTTATTTCCCATCCTCCCTTGCAGCTAATTGTGGCCATGTTTTTGCATATTGTCTCCTATTTCCATTACAGCCCTTAGCATTTTAATCATAGTTATTTTAAACTTCTGGTCTGATCGTTCCAACACCCCTGTCATAGCTGAGCCTGCTTCTGGTACTGGCTCTATCTTTTTGAACTGTGTTTTTTGGCCTTTAGCATGCTTTGTCTCTTTTTTTTCTTTTTTTTTTTTTTGGTCAAAACCTGGACATGTACTGGGTAAAAGGACCTGCTACGAATAGGCCGTAGCGATATAACAGAATGTGGAGGGAGGAAAAGCATTCAGTCCTGTGATTAGGTTTCTGTCTTTGGGCGTGCCTGTGCCTCTGGACTGTGAATTTCACCAGTGCTTCTCAGATTGTGCCCTGCTTAGATGGGCCAGAATGGCTACAAAAGACTGAGTTGGGTATTTTGCTTCCCTCAGTTCAGTTAGGCTCAGGCAAAACCCTAATAGGTTGGGCCTGGTAAGGGTTACTCTTGAGGGCAGGACTAGTTAAGAACAGAATGCCCTGGGCCTCTTTCAAAATGACCACTTTCCCCTCCCCTTGCCAGAAGTACGATGAGATTTTTCTCCTGAACCAGGAGGCGAGGCCGCAGTGAGCCATGAGTGTGCAGCAGTATGATCGGTGGAAACGACTTCTTGGAGGCAGGCTGGCAGGGAAGATTTTTTCCATTTAAAAATATATATTCTACTTAAAAATGTTAAGTCTGGTTTCCTAGGGGCTACCCTGTATCTGCCTAGCTTGGTGGTCAGCCAATGATTGGACAGAAGCTGTGCTCAAACATCTCAAGCCAGTAAGGCTTGTGTCCTCTGTAGATGGGTCTGGGTGTGGGTAGGGGAGCTTATTCAATGTTCAGGCTACTTTCAGGTCTTCTGGGCTTTCCTTTCCACCGGGCCCTCTCACATCTTTTATATACACGTGCATAGTCCCAGGGCAGTCCAGGAGAGCATGAGTAGCATGGGACCTCTCCAGTCTCTGGTCAGCTAGAAATATACTGCCACAAGCACATCCATAGCCTCAGTTGAGTAGAGCTGATCTGTTTGCCCTTCCCGGCCCGCCCACCTCCAAGAAGTCACTTCCACCGATGACACCACTGGGCACAGGTGTTGCCCACCAATCCAAATGAGCGAGCGCCCTTCAAGCCTACGGGGAGAAGCTGCTGGGCTTCATGACCTTCCCTGCCTTGGCGCAGCCTCCATGCCCAGCAAGCCAGGAGGGATGGGAGCAGCCCTGGGCCAGAATGCCATAGACTCCCGCTGTTCTTACTCAAAATCCAGCCGCTTGGATTATGAGACATCTTCGTTGGCTTCCAGATCAAAAAGCTTGTTTTTGTCAATTTGGTCCAGCTTTATGGTTACTTTCTTGGGGAGGTTGTTTGCTGATATCCACATTTGGCCACAGCTGGAGGTCCTGCGCTTTCTTTTTCTTTTCTTCTCTTTTTTTTTTTTTTTTTTTTTTTTTCCAGACAGGGTCTCACTCAGTCACCCAGGCTGGAATACAGTGGCAAAATCACAGCTCACAACAGCCTCAACCTCCTGGTTCAAGTGATCCTCCTGCCTCAGTCTCCCAAGTAGTTGGGACCACAGGTTCGCACCACCACGCCCAACTAATTTTTTTTATTTTTTTGTGGAGATGGGGGTCTCACTATGTTGCCTAAACTGGTCTCAAACTCCTGGGCTCAAGTGATCTTCCCCCCTTGGCCTCCCCAAGTGCTGGGATTTCAGGCCTGAGCCACCACTGTGCCCAGCCAGTCCTACCCTTTCAGCCTTTTTCAGCCCTATTCTTTTAGATGTATCTCTTACAAACAGCTTATAGTTGGATTTTTTTTTTAATCCTAACTGGATAATTTAATCTATTTATTTTGCTTAATGCTTTTTGGATCTATTTTTAACATATTATGTTATACTTTCTACTTATTCCAATGTTTCCGTTTCTTTTTTTTTTGAGACAGAGTCTCGCTCTGTCGCCCAGGCTGGAGTGGAGTAGCATGATCTCAGCTCACTGCAAGCTCTGCCTCCCGGGTTCATGCCATTCTCCTGCCTCTGCCTCCCGAGTAGCTGGGACTACAGGCGCCCGCCACCACGCCCGGCTAATTTTTTTGCATTTTTAGTAGAGACAGGGTTTCACCATATTAGTCAGGATAGTCTCGATCTCCTGACTTCATGATCAGCCCGCCTCGGCCTCCCAAAGTGCTGGGATTACAGGCACGAGCCACCAGGCCTGGCCTATTTCCATTTCTTTATTTCCCTTACTTGACCTTTATTTGATTAACTGATATTTTCCTTCATTATCTGCTATTTTCTTCTACTAGTTTGGAAGTAGTACATCCTATTTATAGTCTAGTTCCTCTAAAAAAGTTAACATGCATATTTGTCTTAACAAAACGTAAAGTCACTCAATATCAATACAGCCATGAGGAAATCAGAGGGTCCAGAATTACTGTCTCACCATAAACAGCTAGAAACTGGGCAAAATATATGAAAATCCATTGTTTTCAGATGGGGGACAGCAATCAGTGAAGGACTGTGGTCCCTGAGAGAAAGGAGACAGACTAGGAGAGCTCTACGTCCCGGCTTTCTGACTCAGGTAGAAGAGACATAAAAATGTGGCCCATATGGATTGCTTTAGCCCAGGAGTTCAAGACCACTCTGGAAAGTATGGCAAAACCCCATCTCTACAAAAAACACAAAAAATTAGCCAGGTGTGGTGGTGCACACCTATAGTCCCAGCTACTCGGGAGGCTGCATCAGGAGGATTGCTTATTGCTTGAGCTCAGGAGGTGGAGGTTGTAGTGAGCCGTGATCACACTAGTGCACTCCAGCCTGGGTGACAGAGACTCCATCTCAAAAAAAAAAAAAAAAAAAAAAATCCCATAATGAGAAGAAAAATCCGCCAATGAAAACAGACCCAGAGGAGTTTCAGTTTCTGGTCCAACATGTAAGGAGCCCAGAAGTCATCAGTGTCTCCTAACAACAAGTACAAGCGGAACAGACTTAAAACCGAACACATATTTTGATATGTGTAATTGGAGGCTCTGAGGAAGAGGAGAAAGAGAAAGGGGCAGAATAAATATTTGAATAAATAATGGCTAAACACCAACGTTTGGTGAAAAGCATTAATCGGATCCAAGAAGTTAGATTAACCCCAAGTAAGATAAACACAAAGAGAGTCACTCATAGACATTTCTTTTTTTTTTTTTTTTTTTTTTTTTTTTGAGACGGAGTCTCGCTGTGTCGCCCAGGCTGGAGTGCAGTGGCCGGATCTCAGCTCACTGCAAGCTCCGCCTCCCGGGTTTACGCCATTCTCCTGCCTCAGCCTCCCGAGTAGCTGGGACTACAGGCGCCCGCCACCTTGCCCGGCTAGTTTTTTGGTATTTTTTAGTAGAGACGGGGTTTCACCGTATTAGCCAGGATAGTCTCGATCTCCTGACCTCGTGATCCGCCCGTCTCAGCCTCCCAAAGTGCTGGGATTACAGGCTTGAGCCACCGTGCCCGGCTCAGAGAGTCACTCATAGACATTTCATGGTTGAATTATTGAAAGCCAAAGACAGACAATTTTGAAAGTATTATAGCAGAAGAAATAAATGACTCACATAAAAGGGAACCGCAATAAAATTAACATCTGACTTATCATCAGAAACAATGGAGGCCAGAAGGGAGTGGAATGACAAACTGAAAGCATCGAAAAAAAAAAATACTATCAACTAACAAAAAAAAATTTGTTTTGAGACAGTCTCAGTCTGTCACCCAGGCTGGAGTGCAGTGGTGTGATCTCAGCTCATCGCAGCCTCAACCTCCTGGGCTCAAATGATCTGCCTGCCCCAGCCTCCCAAAGTGCTGAGATTACAGGTGTGAACTACTGCACACAGCCCCCAAATTTTATATCTAGCAAAACTATGCTTTAAAAATTGAAGGTTTAGCTGGGTGTGTTGGCTCACGCCTGTAATCTCGACACTTTAGGAGGCCAAGGCAGGCGGATCACCTGAGGTCAAGAGTTTGAGACCAACCTGACCAACATGGTGAAACCCCATCTCTACTAAAAATACAATAATTAGCCAGACGTGGTGGCATGCACCTGTAATCCCAGCTACTCGGGACACTGAGGCACAAGAATCGCTTGAACCTGGGAGGCAGAGGTTGCAGTGAGCTGAGATCACGCCACTGCACTCCAGCCTGGGCAACAGAGAGAGACTCCATCTCAAAAAAAAAAAAAAAAAAATTTGAAGGTTTAAAAAAAGACATTCCCAGAAAAACAAAGGCTGACGTAGTTCATTGCTAGCATGCCTCATTACAAGAAATACTCAAGGAAGTCCTTTAGGCTGAAAGGAAATGACACCAGTTAGTAACTGGAATTCAAAGTAAGAAATGGAAAGCAGAAAAAATGGTTAAAAAGTGAGCTAATATAAAAGCCACTCAACATATTTTTATTCATTTACTTTCTTTTAAAAACGTAAGATTGGCCGGGCGCGGTGGCTCACGCCTGTAATCCCAGCACTTTGGGAGGCCGAGGCGGGCAGATCACAAGGTCAGGAGATCGAGACCATGGTGAAACCCCGTCTCTACTAAAAATAGAAAAAATTAGCCGGGCGCAGTGGCGGGCGCCTGTAGTCCCAGCTACTCGGGAGGCTGAGGCAGGAGAATGGCGGCAACCCGGGAGGCGGAGCTTGCAGTGAGCCGAGATTGCGCCACTGCACTCCAGCCTGGGCGACAGAGCGAGACTCCGTCTCAAAAAAAAAAAAAAAAAAAAAAAAAAAAAAAAAACGTAAGATTGCATTTAAAAAAGGTATTACACTGTATTTCAGGGTTTATAACCTATATAGATGTAATATACATGGCATTACTAGCTCAAAAGAAGTGGGAAAGAATGTAGCCATACTGGGGCAAAGTCTCCATATTTCACCAAAATTAAGTGAGTATTCACCTGAGGTGGATTGTGATTAGTTAAGACTCATAATGTAATCGCTAGAGAAAACCCTAAGAAAATAACTCGAACTTGGAGTGAATGAATGCCTATTTATGTCTAAATTTCTGCTTCAATGTAATTAAAAATCAACAGAGGAAAATTGGCCAGCGCAGTGGCTCATGCCTATAATCCCAGCACTTTGTGAGGCCGAGGTGGGTGGATCACTTGAGGTCAGGAGTTCGAGACCAGCCTGGCCAACATGGGGAAATCCCGTCTCTACTAAAAATACAAAAGAAAATTCAAATATAACAGATGGACATTTCAATGCTCTATTTTCAATAGTTGATAGGACTAGACAGAACATCAGCAAGGATATATAAAATCTGAATAATACTATCAACAAATTTGACCTAACTGATACCTATAGAACACACCATTCAAAAATTGCCAAGTATACATTTTTTTCAAGTGCACATGAAACATTCTCCAGGATAGACCATAACCTAGGTCATAAAACAAGTCTCAATATATTTAAAGGAATTTAAATAATATAAAATATGTTCTCTGACCACAACAGAATTAAATTATAAATCCAAAAAGATAGAAACCTAGGAAGTCCAAAATACTTGGAAATTATGCAACACTCTTCTAAATAAGTGGCAAGTCAAAGAAAAAACAAAGGAAATTAGAAAAGCCTGAAGAGAATGAAAATGAAAACACAACATATCAAAATCTATGGAATGCAGCTAAAGCAGTACTCAGAGGGAAATTTACAGCTTTAAAGGCCTACACCAGCAAAAAAAGAAAGATCTCAAATTAATAACCTTGCATCTACCTTGACAAACTAGAAAAAGAAGAGCATACTAAATCCAAAGCAAGCAGAAGGAAGGAGATAAAGATTAGCACAGAAACTAATGGAATTGAAAACAGGAAAACAATAGACAAAAATCAATGAAAACAAAAGTCAGCTCTTTGAAAAATCAGCAAAATTGATCTTGGCTAGAGTGACCAAAAAGAAAAGAGAATCAAATTACCAAGATCAAGAAGAGAAAAGGGGGGCATTACTACTGACCTATAGAAATTTAAAGGATTATAAGAGAATGCTTTGATGACTTCATGCCAAAAAAATTGGACAACTCAGATGAAATGGAGAAATTCCTAGAAAGACACATGACCAAAACTGACTTAAAAATAAATTAAAAATCTGAATAGACTTATACCAAGCAAATAAATTGAATTAGTCATTGAAAATATTCCCACAAAGAAAATCCAAGCCCAGATGGCTTCACTGGTGAATTCTATCAAATAACTGAAGAATGATGAACGCCAATCCTTCACAGACTCTTTCAGAAAATAGAGGAGTAGGAACACTTCCTATCTCATTCTATCAGCCCAGTATTACCCTCATACCAAGGATATCACAAGAAAACAACTACATCTCAATATGCTTCATGAACTCCTGGATGCAAAAATCTTTAACACAATATTTAAAAACTAAATCTAGCAGCACATAAGGATTAGACACCATCATCAAGTGGGATTTATACCAAGAATACAAGCTTGATTTAACATCTGAAACTCAGTGTAATACACCACATTAACAGAAAAAGGACAAAAACCACATGATCCTCTCAATAGGTGCATTAAAAGATTCAACAGAATCTAACATCCATTCATGACTTGAAACAGTCCTTTTGCGGGTGGCGGCGAGCGCAGAGGACGCCATGAAGGTCCCGAGCGCACTACAAGAGTACAAGGTGGTGGGTCGCTGCCTGCCCACCCCCAAATGCCACACATCGCCTCTCTACCGCATGCGAATCTTTGCGCCTAATCATGTCGTTGCCAAGTCCCCCTTCCGGCACTTCGTATCTCAGTTAAAGAAGATTAAGAAGTCTTCAGGGCAGATTGTCTACTGTGGGCAGGCGTTTGAGAAGCGCCCCCTGCGGGTGAAGAACTTCGGCATCTGGCTGCGCTATGACTCCCGGAGCGGCACCCACAACATGTACCGGGAATACCGGGACCTGACCACCGCGGGGCTGTCACCCAGTGCTACTGAGACATGGGCGCCCGGCATGGCGCCCGGGTCCACTCCATCCAGATCATGAAGGTGAGGGAGATCGCAGCCAGCAAGTGCCGCTGGTCGGCCATCAAGCAGTTCCACGACTCCAAGATCAAGTTCCCGCTGCCCAACCGGGTCCTGCGCCGTCAGCACAAATCATGCTTCATCACCAAGAGGCCCAACACCTTCTTCTGGGCGCAGGGGCCTCGCCCGGCTGTGCCCCAAATAAACTCAGGAACGCCCGGTGAAAAAACAAAACAAAACAAAACAAAAAACAAAACAAAACAAAACAAAAAACAAAACAAAACAAAACAAAAACACCTTTCTACAAACTAGGAACAGAACAGAATGGAAGTTACTCATGACAAAGGGCATCTATGAAAAATCCACAGCTAACATGACACTTAATGATGAAAGACTAAACGTTTTCCCTCTAAGATTAGGAACAAGGAAAGGATTCTTTTACCACTTGTATTTAATGTAGTATTGGAGGTTCTTGGTAGTGCAATAAGCAGGAGAAACAAAAAGGAAAAAGAGAGAAAAGGAAGGGAGCAAGGAAATAAGCATCCCAATTAGAAAGGAATAAGTAAAATTCTCTTTACTTGCAGATGACACGTGCTGTGTGTAGAAAATCACAAAGAATCCACACAAATAAAACCTATTAGAACTAATAAAAAGGGCCAGGCATGGTGGCTTGTGCCTATAATCCCAGTGCCTTGGGAGGCTGAGGCAGGAGGATTACTTGAGCCCAGGAGTTCAACACCAGCGTGTGCAGCATAGTGAGACTCCATCTCTAAAAACAAAATAAAATAAAGTAAATTAGAACCTAACATGGTGGCCTGCTCCTGTAGTCCCAGCTACTCTGGAGGCTGAGAAGGGAGGATTTGCTTGAGCCCAGGAGTTCAAGACCGCAGTGAGCTGTGATTGCACCACTGCACTCCGGCCTCTAGCCTGGGTGACAGAGCAAGACCCCGGTCCCCCATCAAAAGAGAGAGACAGAGCGAGAACTAATAAAAAGTTTAGGAAGGCCACAGAATACAAGATCAATATATTTTTAAAAATCAATGGTTATTTATATACACTTTTAATGAACAATTCAAAAATGAAATTATGAAAACAATTCTGTGTACAAGAGCATACAAAGAATAAAATTCACAAATAAATTTAACAACAAAAGAAGTGCGAAATGTATACACTGAAAACTGTAAAACATCATTTAAAAAATTAAAGAACAAAATAAGTGGAATGATATTCTGTGTTCATGGATTGGAAAACAATATTGTTTTAACATAGCAACACTCTCTGGCTGGGCACGGTGGCTCACGCCTGTAACCCCAGCACTTTGGGAGGCTGAGACGGGAAAATCACCTGAGGTCAGAAGTTCGAGACCAGCCTGGCCAACATGGTGAAACCCTGTCTCTACTAAAAATACAAAAAAATTAGCCAGCCATGGTGGCAGGCACCTGCAATCCCAGCTACTTGGGAGACTGAGACAGGAGAATCATTTGAACCCGGGAGGCGAAGGTTGCAGTGAGCCAAGATCGTGCCATTGCACTCCAGCCTGGGTGACAACAGTGAAACTCTGTCTCAAAAAACAAAACAAAACAAAACAAAACAAAAAACAAACAAACAAAAAAACCCATGTGCATCAAAAGACACTATCAAAGAGTGAAAAGATAATCCACAGAATGGGAGAAAATATTTACAAATCATATATCTGATAAGGATCTAATATCCAGAATACATAAAGAACCCTTACAGCTCAACAATAAAAAGATAAATTATCCAATTAAAAAATGAACAGAAGTTTTGAATGAACATTTTTCCAAATAAGATATACAAATGACTAATAAGTACATGAAAAGATGCTCAATATCATTGGTCATTAGAGCAATATAAATCAAAACCACAGTGAGATACCATTTCACACACACTAGGATGGCTATTTTAAAAATCACACACAATAACAAGTGTTGACAAGGATGGAGAGAAATTTGAACCACATGCATTGCCGGTGGGAATGTAAAGTGGTGCTGTTGCTTTGGAAAATGGCTTGGCATTTCCTTCAAAAGTTAAACATGGAGTTATCATATGGCCCAACAATTCTACTCCTAGGTGTATACTCAAGACAATTGAAAATACACATCCACACAAAAACTTGCACACAATTGTTCATAGCAGTATTATTCACAATAGCTAAAAGTAGAAACAACCCAAATGTCCATCAATGATTAATAAAATGTGGTCTATCCATACAGTAAAATATTCTTCAGCTGTAAAAAAGAATGAAGTACTGATCCATGCTACAATATGGATGAACCCTGAAAACATCATAGTAAGGGTAAGCCAGACACAAAAGTCCACGTATGGTATGATTTCATTAATTTAAAATATTGAAATAAGCAAATCCACAGATAGAAGTCAATTAGTGGTTGCCAAGCAGCGGGGGAGGGGTTGTAAATGGGGAGCTACTGCAAATGCATACAAGGTTTCCTTTCGGGGTGATGAAAATGTTCTGGAATTAGATAGTGGTGATGGCTGCAAAACACTGTAAATACACTAAAAACTGCTGAATTGTACATTTTACAGGGTGAATTTTATGGTACGTGAATTGTACCTCAATAAAAAACAAATTTTTAATTTGAACGGAAAAGGATTGGAAAAAATATACCAGTCAAATGTTAACCAAGAAAAGTTATAGTTGCTATGTTAATATCAGACCAAGTAGACTAGAAGGGAAAATCATTGCTAGTATTAATGTATATCACTATATTTTGATCAAATATTCAACTTACCTAAAATATATACCAATTCTAAACTCATATATACTGAATAACATAACTTATAAATACATAAAGCAATAATTGAAAGAACTACAAGGAGAAACTGGCAAAAAGCAGTTGAGCCTCTACTCAGGGCATCATGTGAGGAAAGACTTGGCTCCCTGGGGTGAGGGAAACTATGGAAATCTCCATGGGGTGTGAGGGAGGAGCTCTGGAGAGAGGGGCATGAGCTTTTGTTTTTTCAAAGACCAGCGTGATAGTAAGCCTGGGCTTTTTCTATTTCTCAAAAGGGGGCAGATAATAGGGTTGAAAAATACTGAAAAATTCTCTTAAAGCAAAAATCAGATCCTGTCACTTGTTCTGTTTAAAACGTCAGTGGCTCCCAGTGCCCTCTTGAGAAAGTTCACTTTCCAGGCTGATCTCTACCCACCTCCTCTCACAACCTCCTTCAACCAGACGGGATTCTTTGTTATTTCTGAAACATTCCATACTTCTTATCTTGCCCACCTGGTGTTGGGCTGGTGATAGGGATCCCTGAATGAAGCTGGGGTGGGGTGGAGAACATGGTCACCACATGCCCAGACAGTACCTGGCAGGAAGAAACATGTGGCTTATAGTGCCAACTCGGCCACCAAGTCTGGCTAGGGGGCCTGACTTGGTCACTTCGTCTCTTCAACAGACCTGTTGCTCTCGTGGGTTCCCTGGCAGCATCCTCAACTCCCTCACAACTCCACCCCTCCCACTCCCATTGACTCCATGACCAAGCTCCATCCTTCCAGTAGTCCCACGTCTCTTGCCTTGTCCTATACATGGTTCAGGCTTGTCTCCCAGCCACCAGCCCTGCCCTGCCCCACTTCTAGACCATTGCTCACACTGAACTCCAAAGGGATCTTTGTAGGGCCCAGCTCCCATGCCCCATTTCCACCACTGTGAAAAGACCTCCCTGGTTCCCACTTAACAGGACATAAAATTGAGGCACAGAGGACCTTAAAGGCAACACAAGCCACGTGGCATGGTGGCTCACACCTGTAGTCCTAGCTACTCGGGAGGTTGAGAATCACTTGAACCCAGGAGTTCTGGGCTGTAGTGTGCTATGTCCATCAGGTGTCCATATTAACTTCAGCATCAATATTCTGGGAGCAGAGGACCACTAGGTTGCCTATGGAGGGGTGAACCACCCCAGGTCGGAAACAGCGTAGGTCAAAACTCGTGTGCTGATCAGTAGTAGGATCACACTTGTGAAGTGAATAGCCACTGCACTCCATCCTGGGCAACATAGTGAGACTCCATCTCATAAAAAAAATAAAAAAATAAAAATTTTTTTTAAAAAAAGGCAACACAAACCATGTGCAAGACCCAAACTCAAATCCAGCGTGGGGTCCCCCAGCCCAGGGTTCTCTTTCCTTCAGACACACAGAGTTTGCATTCACAAAGAGAAGTGGGGAACAAATGCCGCCTTGTTTTCTTCAATTCCCCACACAATTATGTCCCAAGCAAGACCTCGCTTGCATGGATGCAAGCAAGAGGATGCAGTGGGAGAGCGTGGGTTCAAATCCTCACTCTGCCACAAGTTGTGTAACTTTGGCTCACTTAGCCTCTCTATGCCTCAGTTTCTCCATATGTGAAGTGGGGATGATGATCATGATAGCAGCTATCTCACAGGTGAGGTTCAAGTTAATACACAGGAAGCTCTTCAATAAAGAGTCGTTACTAGCTTTTTTTTTTTTTTCTTTTTTTTTTGTAGAGATAGGTTCTCTCCATCTTACCCAGGCTAGTCTCAAACTCCTGGGCTCGAGGGATCAGTGTTCTTTTTATTACAAGGAATAAACCTTCCAGAACTACTAGATACAATGCTAGACACATATTGCAAAGAGAAGGGTGAAAAGTAAGTCTACTTTCATAACCCTCAGGCAACTCGAACTCACCACATCCAGAATCAATCTCATCACTCCTCCCCCAAAGTGATGCCCATTGAACTCTTCTTGATGAATGTTCTGCTGCCAGAACCATGACCTACCTGGATCCTCTCGCTTCATTCCCTACCTGCAACCCATCACCAAGACCTGTCCACGTGACTCCCAAAGAGCTCCTAGGACCACCTCCGTGTCTCCCTGTCCCTAGGGTGGACCCACAGGTTGAGCTTCCCTTGAAACTCTGCTACCTACAGGTTTGCTTCAAGATGGAGCACGTGACCCACCCTGTGTGACCCAGAACAGCAGAGACAGCTTCCTTTTGTGATGCCCACCAGGGTTCCCCCGACCCTCGATTCTGGTCTGGTTCCAGACACTCCAATTCCCAGCAGCCAGCCCCAGCTCAGCACCTAACCCACACTGGACAAAAATGCTCTCTGGCTAAAAACCCCTTAGGTGGCTCCCCACTGCTCCTAGACTACAGCTCCAGCTCCTTCCCCTGCCAGGATTGGTCTGGCCCATTCCTCTTGCTGCCAGCCTCAGCAACGGCCCTGAGCCTGAGAAGCCCTCACAGGGTCCAGCGCAGCTCCCTTGCCATCACTTCACACACACACCACTTTTGCCTTTGGCTAAACCAGTCCTTTCTCTCTCCTTGGCTGCCATCCCACTGCCTAAGGGACCCAAATTGCCTTTCTCATAGGGGGTCTTGGAGGGATGAAGGAGGGGTGCCACCTCTGCTTGACCTGGGGGTTCCCCCTCTCACCCCTATCACAGATGGGCAGCACCTCTCCCCCAAGGTTGGACTTCCCCAGGGCAGGATGTGCAGGGTGTGGGGTGGGGGCAGTGGCGAAGAGGAACGGGTTTGAGAGGCTGCCCAGGTGCTGAAGGAACTAGGGGAGGCTAATGGACGTCTAAAGATGGGGCCGTGGCTCCCCCTGCTGACGGGAGGCCATATTGCACCCTGTGTCAAGGCAGCCCAGAGCTGGCTTGAGCTCCAAGCGGAGGCGATCTGGCCAAGTGCCTGGACTGGAAGAGCTGGCTGTTCCTGAGCAAGTGCCGGTTTCTTCTGGAAGGTTGGCTCTGGCACTCCTGCTCACGGCTCCCAGACCCACAAAGATCATTTTTATCATCCCCGTAAAACCACCCCTCCAATAGAGGGCGTCCTCCTGGAGGGCAGGCACCTATTCAGCGCCCAGCACCTGACACAGAGTAGAGGCTCAGTCAACATCTGACCAAAACAAGAGCAAGTAGGTATCGTGGGAGTCCAGTGTGAACAATGGAGAAGATGGGAAGGGGGACCCGCAGCAGGGGTGCCCGCAGGCAACAAGGCCCCGGGTAGGGGTGATGGCAAGTGGGACAGGTCTTGGAGGTGAGGAGGCCATGGTACTGGCTGACTGAGGTCCCCTGTGCGGCCCAGAGTCTGGAGCGAAGGATGGCCTGGGAGTGGCTGTGGGGATAGAGGAGGAGGCTGCCCACCCACCTCCAGCCTGTTCTCCCTGGTGGAAGCCAGGTCCCCTGGCTCCAACCCTGAACCCCACTCCAGCCTTCACCCACAAGGCCCAGACCAGCCTTGGTTTGACCCTCACCGCCTCCCTTTGGGGCCCAAAGTTCAACAGGGAGGGTAATCTTCTCTACCATTCTCGCCAGTCAAGCCGTGGGTCATCAGGCTACACTCTGGGGGCTGGCAGGGAGCAAGGGTCTCAGAAGGTAGGGAGGGGTGGCCAGCTTGCCTGGAACTCTGGCTGGGGCCAAGGAGTGGCTCTAGAGGTCTTCCCCTGATGGGCCCAAGAGAAAGGGCTAGAGGGGCCAGCAGAGGTTTGGGACCCAGCAAGGCAGGGCTCTGGAGCCCTGGCCGCTCCAGAATGGAGGTTGGTGGGCCTGGGGCCACTGAGACCAGAGGACAGGCCACGGCTCTTCACTTCAGAAGCCACTGCCAAGCTGCCACTGCTCCCAGAGCCCCAGCTTCCAGCCCAGGTCTACCCCAGCCTGGAGCCTAAGGGTTCCAAAGCCCCCCACACAGCAGAGGGGAAGAGGGCCCCGTGTGGCCCTCTCCTGGACAAGGAGCTCCTCTCACCCCCTGACCCTGGGGTTCCCTATTCTTCTGCTTGACAAGATGGCCTCTGGCCATCAAGAAAGGGAAGGGAGGGAGGGATGGAAGGTGACAGTTCTGGGCTCTGGTCGCCCTCCATGCACCTGTGAGCCCTTCCCAGTCCCAGGCACCTGGCTGAGGCACTCCAGGCCCGGCCCTGCATGGCAGGGGCACTGCAGCCCATCCCTGAGGGTCTGGAGCCAGCACTCAGCCTCCTGCCAGCGCCCCCTGCTGGCAGCCCAGCAGGCGTGTGCTGCCTCCACTTTGTCCCAGGACCCCAAGGCTGGGCAGTTACACCTCTGGGGTGGCAGAGCTGCCTGGCCACGCTGTCACTTGTTGGTGCTTTGGGGAAAGGGGACAGGAAGTTTTTGGACAGTTGGAAACTTGTCTGCCACGATGAGAGGGAGCAGAGGTTCAGGTGGCAGTGGGTAAAGCCGTGTGGCAGGGTCTCATTGGTTTCCTTCCCACAAGTGACCAGGTCCCCTCCACACTCGCCGCATCCCCAGTTCACCACTGGCCCATTGCTGTATCTTTCTTTATTGGTTTGGGGAAAACTGGAGGGGGCTGGAAGGCCATGACCATGACACAAGCAGGACCACCCACACTCAGCGAAGCACAGAACAGCCGTGCAGGAAAGACAGCCCCTGAGGCCCGCCTGCCAGTACCTCCTCGGCTTTTGGTGGGGTGGGGGGCAGGGGCGGGAGAGGCAACAGGGGAGGGGATCCACTGCCCCCAGGCAGGGCAGAGCCTGGGGACAGACTTGGGGGTGCTCCATTCCAACCCCAGCACCATGCGCCACACCCTCGAATCTCAAACTCCAGCAGAGGCCAGCCCCAGGGGTGAAGGGTTGGGGGAGGGGACCAAAAGCATCCAAGGGAAGGAAATCTGGGGGTCAGTCCACTTGGCCTTGGTATCTGCCTGAGAGGGAGAAGCAGAGGGAAAGGGGGTAGTTAGGAGCCGACCTGCCAGCCCTGTGCCCCCACCCCCACCTCGGTCAAATCCCGGATTTCTTAGAGGCCCTCTCCCCCTCCACTCCCTTGCCCAATCTCGGGCACCCACAGGCCCTCCCTGTCCTTCCACCTCTCCTGGGGCCCTGGCTCCTCCCTCTGCCCTCTGCCCTCAGCCCTCTGGCCTGTGGGGGCCACCCGACTTAGCTCTTGGCCACATGGAGTGCCACCACCCTCTAAGCTCTTCAAGGAGCCAGCTCCTGGGGGTGCAGGGTCCACCCAAACACACCTGGGGATCACCACTTGGGGGGCTGGCCAGCATGGAGGCCTGAGTGGCTGTGCCGGGCCAGGCCCTGCTCAGAGGCCCCCTCGGCCTCTGGGCTCTGCCCCAGCTTCCGGATGTGGCGCAGGAATGAGGTGGCATTGAAGGCTCGCTGCCAGAAGAGAGGGAGATCAGGCCAGGCCTGGGCCAGGCCCCAGCCCCAAGACTGTGAGGACCACAGTGGCCACTGGGCAGTCACAGCGATCAGGCTACAGCTGGGATGCAGCGGGTGACCACACTGGGTCTGTCTCCACACTGACCTTCCAGTGCATCCGAGCAAAGTTCTTCTGGATCTGCTCACTGACAGAGCCTAAGATGTCCCTGTCGAAGGCTGTGTCCCCAGAGATCCTGGGGAAAGGCTGAAGGTCGGGGGGGGGCCTCTCTGCAGGGGCAGTCCCCCGGCCCTGGGGCAGCTCGGCAGGGCTCCCACTCACCAAAGATGCTGCAAGGCCTGTTGGCAGGTGAACCTCTTCTGGGGGTCTCGCTCCAGAAGGTGCCGGATGAAGTCTTTGGCTGGAGCAGGGAGGCTGGGTCAGCCCATCGGGTCCCCACTCCCTTGCATCACCCCCAAGCACGGGCCAGCCTGAAGCTCACCTGATTCTGAGATGTCATCCCAGAAAGGAGAGTCAAACTCATAGCTGGCCCTCAGGATCTGGTTGAAGAGTTCAGGGTCGCTCTCGTCGTAGAAGGGGGGATACCCACACAGCCTGGCACCCACAGATGAATCACCCAGCTGTCCCACCCTCCCCAACCCAGTAGGGGCAGGCAGGTAGGAGACAAGCCTTCCCAGCAGTAACTCACAGGATGTAGGAGATGACGCCCAGTGCCCACACATCTACGGCCTTCCCGTAGGGTTTCTGCTCCAAGAGCTCTGGGGCTGGGGGCCAGAGACAGACAGACGCACGCACAGGCACACACGCAGCCATGCTGCTCAGTGTCGCTGGCTCAGCCTACTCAAGCCCAGGAATGGCCCACACAAAGGCAACGGGCACAACAGCCTTCCCGGCTATCTAGGGTCCCCCAGGCCACCCCACTCCCAGCAAGCCTCAGGGTGCCGTCCCTCACCCACATATCCGGGGGTCCCACAGGCGGTGCCTAGCATGTTGCCAGCCTGGATTTTGGAGAGTCCAAAGTCAGAGACCATGATCTTTGAGTCCTCAAAGGGCGTGGCATACAGGAGGTTTTCGGGCTGTGACACACGGACACCGGGAAAAGGGCCAGGTCAGTCCTGATGCGGTGCCGGTGCTGGGACAGGATGAGGACTACACACTCTCAGGTTCCCCAGAGCCTTGGTGGAGTGGGAGATCAAGAAAGGCCCCAGCCGTGCTCCCGGGAAAACAAAGGCAGGACCAGGTGGGCAAGTGGGAGGGTGGGGCGCAGAGGCCCCAGCCAGGCACCTTGAGGTCCCGGTGCACGATCCCCAGGCTGTGCAGGTAGGAGACGGCGCCGAGGACCTGACCCACCAGATGGCTGGCATCCTTCTCTGTGTAGGAGCCGCGCTCCATGATGCGATCAAACAGCTCGCCACCCGTCACCCTGGGGGTGCCAGGGGTTTGGCTGACCCAGGCACTCAGCCTGGCCTTCAGCCCCACTCACTGCTCAGTCCCTCCCCGGCTCCCACAGCCTGCCCAGGCCCTCCTCACAGTTCCATGGCCAGGTAGAGGTGGGAAGGGCTCTCGTGGACATCCTCCAGAGCGACAATGTTGGGGTGGCTGATCCTGCAACGGCAAGGAAGCACCTGTGGGCCAACAGAGTCAAGGGGTGCTCTGTCCTGAGGCCCCGGGAAAAGACTCCTCCCTCTTCTCCTCCTCCCACCTCTGTTCCCCATTCCCTAACCACATGCCACCCCTGCCCGGTCCAGGAAGGCAGAGCTCCAGCCTGAGCCCTGGCCTTCCTTCTAAAGCCCATTTGAAAAGCACAGATCAATATCCACTAGCTCCCTGTGGCTGCCACAGGGACGTGCAGGCCCAGAGAGAGCACTGCCCCAGGCTTCCCAAAGGTTGGTGGCCAGGCCTAGACTAGAGCCAGGGACTCCTTGCACCCCTCATCGACCTATGCCACATCCCAGGGCCCCGCGAGGTGCGCACCTTCGGAGCACTGCGATCTCGTTCTCCACCAGAGCCTCCTTGCCCCGGAGGGCCTTCTTGGGGATGCACTTGAGGGCCACGAGGTGTGCGGAGCCCCGCTCCTGGGCCAGCACCACCTCGGAGAAGGCACCCCTGCCGCAGACACGAGCGGTGGGAGGTGGGAAGGAAGTGGGAAGAGAGAAGAGGCAGGAGGGAGAGAGAGGGGAGCAGGGAGGGCCCCCTGTGAAGAAGATGGGGAGGCCCTACCTGGCCCTGTGCCACCCCCCACGAAACTCAACACATGCCATCTCACAGACTCACTCACATTCACACACCCCTATATATTCACACACACATCATCTCACACCCACTCGCGTAGTCACATACACATGCCATCTCACACAGGTACACACACACACGATCACACGCGCGCACACTCACGAGCCGAGCCTCTCGCGGATCTCATAGACGCTGCTGATGTCCTCCGTGTGTTTCTTCAGCAGCAGCATGTCTGCAGGGGCAGGGGAGAGGTGATGGGGGTCCCTCCTCCCTCCCCCGCACCGGGGGCGAGGGCAGCTTCCTCCTCCACCCCTGTCAGGCAGGCCTCAGCCGTTGCCGCTGCACTCGACCCTCCCCTCCCCCGTCCAGGTCCACACCCCCAGACGGACGCCTCGCAGCGAGGCCACCGCAAACACGCCTCCACATCCCAGGCCTACAGCTGCCATCCCACGCCCCCACACCCTGCACCCTGACAGCGACCAGCGCCTGGATGCTGCCTCTCTGCCTCCACATATCCGGCCGCTTTCCAGAAGGCTCCATGCTCACCCACGCCGGTCCCTCCCCCATCCACACATCCACAGAGCCCACGCCCCCACCGCCGCCTAGACCCGCCACCCATGGCACAGCGCCCACAGGCACCCGCTGCCCAAGCCACCAAGCCGCCCGGGATGCACCTGCGACCCCCGCGCGCAGCCACCTGCCAAGACCGCGGCCACCCACGCGGCCGCAGACGCAGCCCGGCCTTCGGCGCCGCGGAGCAGGGGGACCTGGCAGCCTGGGCCGCACGCGTCCCAAGCTGCGTGGACCGAGCGCGAGCGGGCAGGCGGCGCGCCAGGCGTGACAGGTGTGCTGCGGGCGCGCAGGGCTGTGGCGGCTGTGGGCCAGACCTGGTGCGCCCCCGCCTCGCGCGTCCCCGCGCCCCGAAGCAGGTGCGGACCTGGAGCGGGTGCCGCAGCGTCGTTTCGTGCAGTGGCCGCCTCGCCAAGCCCCCCGCCCGCTTCCCGCCGGCCCCGCCCCCTCCGCGCACGCCCCCGCCGGCAGCCCAAGCACGCAGTGGCCGAGCGCGGCCGCGGCGCCGCAGGGCACCTTGTAAGGCAATCGCCGGGCTCCGACTCGGGCGCCGGCCGCCACCGCCCGGCCCACTGCTCTCTCGCGCCGCCTCCTGGAGCTGCGGCCCAGCTGGGCCGACCCCAGGACCTTTGCACCACCGGTGGCTGTCTCCCAGAGAGCTCTCTTCGGCCACAGGTCGGCAAGGCTCTCTGCCTTCCAGTCTCTGCTTTCACCGCCTCTCCGAGGACAGGCCGACCAGGCCACTTGCCCGAAAACAGCCTCCATCCCTAGCTCCAGGACCCTGCAACCCTGCACCACAGCTCTGCCACCCTGGGCTCCCGGCACTCACTGGGCTCCCTCTAGCTCCACCATTAATCCCTCACCCTCACTCTCTTCTCTACCCAGCAGCCAGAGCATTCCTTTTATTGAGATCATGTCACCCTCCCGCAGCTCTCTATGTCAATCCAAGTAAAAGTATGAGTCCTTAGGGGGTGGCCTAATGACTGCTCTGGCCCCTCCCCACCTTTCCCGGCCACTGGCCTCCTGACTGGCCCTAACCCGGACCACATTTGCAGCTGCGTCCCAGCCTTTGCTCCCCTGCCTGGAATGTTCTTCGCTCAGATATCTGCCTGGCTTGGCTCCTCACTCCATCAGATCTCGGCTCAAATGTCCCCTCCTCAAACCGGCCTCCCCGGCTCTGCCTCTCCCAATTCTCCCCGCATACCCCTGCCCTGTCTTTAGAACGTCCAACAGCAAAAATCACCTTCTTCACCTGGTCGTCCTCACCAAAGCGTCTGCTCCTAGAGAGTGTATCTCCGCGAACCCAGCCAAGACGAGCACAGGAAATAAGTGCGGGTGACTGAATTCAATTCTGCATCCAACAGTTACTGGACGCCCCTCGCTGCCCGCCATCCAGTCCCATGAGGTTCTGGTACCCTCCCCAGGGTCTGTGCTCCACATCCCCGCAGGTCAGCATCACAGGGGTTCCATCAAGTGGCAGGGTCCAATCTTCACAGTGACCCATGGACCCTGGCATGGCACAGAGTCTTCAAGAGAGTCTGCGGGGCAGGAAGAGTTTTTTAAAAATCATTTTTCCAGACCTCAACTCCCATATATACTCTGTGTAAAAACTGGGAAATCTGAGAAGGCCCTGGCAGCTCTTGCCCCCTGGCCTTTCCCAGTCACCCCTCCCAGGGCACTGCAGAAGGCTCCAGGGACCCCAGCACTCAGAAGCTCCAGACCTACCTGCTCATCTATGTGAACAGGGTTTCCTGGGACCGACATCTGAAACAGGAAAAAAACAGGAGTGGAACTGATGCTGAGCCCCTTCTCATGACAGCAGGAAGTGCAATTTGTTCACAGATACCTACAGATAATTCCCCAGAATGTCTAATATGCCAATGGTGCTTTGCTCAAGCCAGAAGCAGCATGAGCAGAGTCCTACAACATGGTCCCGGGTTATAAAAAGAAATCGAAATACACATATTTCTGTGTCCCAGAGAAATATGGTGGCGTGAGTAATAAAAAACTGCCCACGTGGACAGAGATGGCACAAAGAGACCTCTCTGAGGGGCAGCAGATGGAAACTAGGAAAGAAGAGCCAATGGGCAGGTATTGGTCCACGAGGTGACTCAGATGCCCCTGGCCTCATGTAAAAACTGATGGCACAATTTTTGTTTTAAATCATTGTATCATGGGGTTTTTTGGTTTGTTATTGTTGTTGTTGTTCTTGTCGTTGTTTGAGACAGAGTCTTACTCTGTCACCCAGCCTGGAGTGCAGTGGTGCAATCTCAGCTCACTACAACCTCTGCCTCCTGGGTTCAAGCAATTCCCCTGTCTCAGCCTCCTGAGTAGGCTGGGACTACACGTGCACGCCACCACGCCCAGCTAATTTTTGTATTTTTAGTAGAGGCAGGGTTTCACCATGCCAGGCTGGTCAGGCTGGTCTCGAACTCCTGACCTCAGGTGATCTGCCCACCTCAGCCTCCCAAAGTGCTGGGACTACAGGTGTGAGCCACCACACCAGGCCTGTATCATGTGTTTACAAGAGAAATTACACCTTCCGGCCTGGCAAGGTGGCTCATGCTTGTAATCCCAGCACTTTGGGAGGCTGAGGCTGGAGGATCACTTGAGCCCAGGAGTTCCAGCCTATCCTGGGCAACATAGCAAGACCCCACTTTCTTTTTTTCTTTTTTTGAGATGGAGTGTAGAAAGTAAAAAGTTCCTCTTCAAAGTTTCCCTTCTTATTAAAAAATAAATCATAAGTGTTAGAAATAATAGTTTCTTTTAAAGACTAACTTCCTTCAAGCCTCCTTGCTTTGTGCTAGTAACTCTTTGTTAAGCCCTATCCTATGTAGCTGTTAAACATGCTTACAGGCACGTAGTACATTCTATGTCCTTGTACTTTAACCAAGATATCTGTGCTGGACGTGCTCACAGGCATGTCCCAGCTCGCAGCCTATGTCCCTTTCCTGTTTGGGAATATTATTACTTTTCTAAGTCATTTCGTAAGCAACTTCCTCTTTTCCTTTATCCTTCCATTGCTTTTACCTATTTTTAAAAGTTTTAAACTATTAGCCAATCAGGTTTTAGTTTAGATTGTGAGGTCTGGCTCCAGCCAATGGAAACAGGACACAGTAGCAAGGACAAACTGCGTAGGCGATAAAAATTGCTTCCCTCCTTTGTTTGGTGTACTTGCATGGCAAAACTGCTGGCGAGTGTAACCTTTCCACAGAAAGTTAAAAAATGGCCTTGCTAAGAAAATTAAACTTATGCCAGGTGTGGTGGCTCACGCCTGTAATCCCAGCAGTTTGGGAGGCCGAGGTGGGCAGATTACCTGAGGTCAGGAATTCAAGACCAGCCGGGCCAACATGGTGAAACCCTGTCTCTACTAAAAATACAAAAATTAGCTGGGCATGGTGATGGGTGCCTGTAATCCCAGCTACTTGGGAGGCTGACGCAGGAGAATCGCTTGAACCCAGGAGGCAGAGGTTGCAGTGAGCCGAGATTGTACCACTGCACTCCAGCCTGGGCAACAGAATAAGACTGTCTCAAAAAAATGAAAAGAAAAGACCCAACTCAATAAGAAAACAACCCAATTTAAAAATGAGCAAAATATCTAAACAGATGGCCGGGCGCGGTGGCTCACGCCTGTAATCCCAGCACTTTGGGAGGCCGAGGCAGGTGGATCACGAGGTCAGGAGATCGAGACCATCCTGGTTAACACGGTGAAACCCCATCTCTACTACAAATACAAAAAATTAGCCAGGCGAGGTGGCAGGTGCCTGTAGTCCCAGCTACTTGGGAGGCTGAGGCAGGAGAATGGTGTGAACCCGGGAGGTGGAGCTTGCAGTGAGCCGAGATCCGGCCACTGCACTCCAGTCTGGGCGACAGAGCGAAACTCCGTCTAAAAAAAAAAAAAGATCTGAACAGATGCCTCTGCAAAGAAGAAATGCAAATGGAAAATAAGCATATCAGAAGATGTTTAACATTATACATCATTAGGGAATTGCAAATTAAAACCACAAGGAGATACCGCTGCATACCTACTAGATAGCCAAAATCCCAAACACTGACAACCCTAATGCTGGCAAGGACCTGAAGCAGCAGCAAGAACTCCCATTCATTGCTGGTGAGAATGCGACAAGGTACAGCCACCCTGAAAAACGGTTGGCAGTTCCTTCCGAAGTTAAGTATACTCTTACCATACAATTCAGCAATCATACTCCTTGGTATTTACCCAAATGATTTGAAAACTTATGTCCACACAAAAACCACCACACACATATTTATAGCAGCCTTTTTTTTCCTAAAAGACCAATGTGATAGCATTAGCAACTTTATTCGTAATTGGCAAAAACTGGAAGCATTTAAGATGTTCCTCAGTAGGTGAACAAATAAAATGTGGTATATCTGGACAATGGAATACTAGTCAGTGATAAAGAGGGAAAAGCTGTGAACCCATGCAAAGAAATAAGTGAATCTTAAATACATATTGCAGAGTAAAAAGCCTGACAAAGCTGCCTACTCTATGACTCCATTTACCTGACATGACATTCCCGAAAAAGCAAAATAGACGAAAAAAAGACAGAAAACAGATCCACGGTTGCCAGGGGTCTGAGAGAGGGGATCATGCTTGACTAGGGGCAGCACAGGGATTCTGTAGGGCAGGGAAACTTCTGTATGATGCTGTAATGGTGGACACGTGACACTCTGAATATGTCAAAACCCACAGAACTTTACAGCAGACAGAGGGAACTTAAAATAGGCACCTTTTAAAATGATCTTTTAGAAGGTTGGGGGATCACAAGACGGAATGCAGATTGCAACAAAAGACAATTAGAAATGTACAAAACAAACAAACAAAAAAGGAACAGAAATGTACAAAACAGCCTTACTGAAGGGGGTCAGGGAGAAAGGGGTTGATCTCAGTCACTCTGAAAATGAGTGGCATCTGTCAGACTAAAAGCAAAAGGAAGCACATATAAGCGCTGTACTCTGATTGATAAGATCGCTCCCCACCAGGGTAGGGGTGAATGATTCTGAAACCTCTCCACCTTTATACCGGAATTCAAGAACTATGGCAATGGATGGAAGACGGTGGGAGCCAGGCTTCTCACTTTAATTTGAATTTTTTATTTTATTTTTAGAGACAGGATCTTGCTGTGTAGCCCAGGCTAGAGTGCAGTGGCACAATCATGGCTCGCTGCAGCCTTGACCTCCTAGGCTCAAGAGATCCTCCCAGCTCAGCCTCCCGAGTAGCTGGGACCACAGGCATGCACCACCATGCCTGGCTAATTTTTCATATTTTTGGTAGATTTGGGGTTTCACCATGTTGGCCAGGCTGGTCTTGAACTCCTGACCTCAGATAATTCACCCGCCTCGACCTCCCAAAGTGCTGGGATTACAGGCATGAGCCACTGCGCCTGGCCTGGGTTTCTCACTTTTAGAGTGGGAGGTTATAGACAAGCAAGGACAGACAGCTAGAATGACCCAGGTGGTGATGGATTAGAGTTGGAGACATCAGTGTGCACTCATGTTGAGTTTAATATAGATACTGATGCGCATATGTATCTGTTTATAGATGTTATGTTAGTAACATAACATGAGTTAGTATATATATAAAATGGGTTAGTATATATATGGGTTTATATATATCTCTCTATCTATATGTATATGGGTTAGCATGCATATATATATATATATATATATATATATATATATATATATATGTTCTTGCTGTCAGCAGAGAGGGCCTAGAAGCAGCAATACTCCAGGAACAATGGGCACACCTAGAGCCCAGAACTTTGTCTCCAACACCATTCTCTCAAAAATGGCTCCTTAAAGAAAATGGCTGGTTCTAGGACTGGTTCAGGAAATTTAAGGGATGAGCACAGAGCCAGAAAGTAAGGAAGTGCTCACACAGACAGCCACACCCACACCCACACAGGCATGCAGACACACAAGCAGT